TCTCAGGGAATTGAATTCAGTGACGGTTTGTCCGCTTTGGCAGAAGTGGCGCTCCAACAGCAGAGGAATACCGTCTAAAACATATACCGGTCACTGAATCTACACCTCATTCTCGCTCTCTCTCTCTCTCTCCCCTAATGTTGATGACTGGCAATGAATAGTGATTTTTGATGTCAATTATATTATTTATGTAGAATTATATTCAACTAAAATATAGTAATTATATGAATAGTAATTAGTGTTGAGTTTGAGAATTAATAGTGAAATTAACTTCTTTTGTCTCCAATTTCTTAATATTCAATCAAATATTAAATTATATAAAATTGGCATTTAATATCTGATGAGCGCTCAAAATGTAAGACTAATTTATATCCATATCATTTGATCCAATCATACAATACTTGGTTTGCAATTGATTTAGATATTAATGAATGGATAGTATAGTAATAAATCTATTCACATATAAAAGCATTTTTAATATAAAATGAATGCATTTATAAGGTATTCACCGCTCAATTAAAAGGCAAATGTATTTCAAACGAGTATTTAATGAATTCAAATTAATAGTGAAATATTTGAATTATATGTTTATTAAACTCATTAAATCGATAATCAATACATTCATAGTTTTGTTGTGTTGAATGAGATTAAAGTTAAAGTATATATGAATGATATATAAATAGTTATTTATTTTCCATATAAATATTATATATATTTAGTGATTAGATATGACCTTAAAGTTAATCTCAATATTTATATGACTTATGTCTGAGCTTTTGTTTGGCATTTGTTTATAAACTGTCTGTTTGTGTCGCTTAGGAAACGATTAGTCCATCTCATTGTGAAAGTGGTGTGAAGGCCGACGACCACCTGTTGGCGGGCGGACTGCACACCGATGGCCGCAACCACAAGTCGGACTCCTCTTCAGATGAAGAGCGAAACATCAAAACGGGTTCAAACACTTCAGTGCAAAACAGTAAGTGATTTGTCTTTTGATGGCTTGCGTTGAAAACACTAATGCCTTCGTGTCTTGTGGTAGTCATGAGTCCCTCCTCTCAGTCACAAAAGCGACCGATGAATGCGTTTCTCATATTCTGTAAACGACACCGAAGTGTTGTCCGACAAAAGTATCCGCATCTCGAGAACAGAAGTATTACTAAGATATTGGGCGAGTGGTGGGCCGCTCTCGACGGAGACCAGAAGCAAAAGTACACAGAACTCGCGCGTCAGTATAAGGAGGCCTTCATGAAAGCCAACCCTCACTTCAAGTGGTATAAGACAACTGATTTAAGGTATGTTTTCCAACATTACATCCATGTGTTTGTGTTATCATCAAAATAATGGTTATCCCGCTATTGTTAGGCCTCCAATAGCGCCGCCATCGCCACCACCCCCTCCACCACCAGTCGTACCGACCGTTTTGGTACAAAACACTCCGAGACCTGCGGCCCAACCAAATCAAACTCAGTCCACACCTAAACCACCGAAAAAGCGTTATTTAGAGAACTTAGAGAATGGAGAATACACTCGAGGTTTGTTTGCCTATTATTTCGATACAATTATAATTGTTTAAACAATTGTGTGATATATTTGATCGATAGTTACAAACAATGCAAACCATAACGTGATGTCCAATGCGAACACAAATGGCGGGCAAGCGATGGGCACGAGTGGATCCAAGTGTGCGAACAACGCCGGACCACCCATTCTGGACATAGAAACGGCAAATCGAGTGATTGAAAACGCTTTGAGTGGATCTCTATCATTGAGCTGTTCGTCCAACGCTAACACAAACCGCGAACAGTCGGCCTTCAATTCGGATATAATTAACGGACACATCAATAGTGTGTTAGAGCAGCACTCGATTGAGACCCGAGAACTGGAGGCACTCGAACGCAGTTCCCATAAAGCGCGTGAAGAGCCACCCGTCGGGACCAGTAGTTCGTCGAAAGCAACCCATAGTACAAGTGTTGACAAAAGTGCAACAAATAGTATCTCAAATCCGGTCATAGGATCGCCTCATATGGCTTCCGATGAGGAGGACATGGAAGACGATAACAGTGTAGACGACGAGAAACCATTGAATCTGTCGGCGTCTACTGTTCTCCGCACTTCCAATCAGGACATTATCGACCACTTCATCGATAAGCTGTTGAGCACCGGAATTGAAGGTATGTCTCAATTATGAATGAATATGACATGAGATGATAACTGATTGGTGGCCAACAGGTTCTACATCGTCTTCATTATCTTTGCCTTTCTCTTCGTCGTCACTCTCATTGATGTCTACAAACGATGACAGGAATAACAAAACCATTAATAATGTGATGAATAATAATCACAGAATTGTCAACAATAAGAGTAATAATCATAATTTAAGTGACAATACAAACCATTGCAATACTTTGAGCACAAATACCGGTCCCAACAGCGCATCCAATAGAGCGCAGTCACGCAAAGACCGGTCCTGTAAAGGGAAGCGCTATCTGGAGATCCTATCGGAGAATAAGATGGCCAAACGGAGCCGAACCGTGTCGTCGATGTCGGCCAACAGCGACAAAGACGAGGGGTCTTCAGGAAAAAACCAGAGTTCAAAGGAGCAGTTGAACGGTGGGTGCGGTAGCGGTGGCTCTAAATGGGTTTCGGGTGGCTTTGACTTAGAGGAACACATCAAACAATTGCCACAATTAGGTGACACTCATCTGCTCAACGCTCTCAGTCATAGCAAAGCCAATAATAAGACAACTATTAATAGTTCTTTGAGTAGTTGTCCGAAGAGTGGTACCACTGATGATATGACACATCATATGAAACCAGACGCCACTAACAATTGTGTTGTCAGTAATGAGTCAAACAATAATTCAATGAGTGATAGAAGTAATAGTGATAACGAAGACAATGAGATGAATGTGACGAATGGCGACTCCAATCAGTTGATCCAAAATACTCCAAAACATTACACAACGGATGCAAACGTTTCCAAAGCCACTGTTGAGACCGAATTGAAACGCGTCGACAGTAATGTCGATAAAACACAAGACACGGACACTTCGGCCAATCGATCGTCTCGTGAAGACTCGATTAAACACAAATCAGCCGAAGAGTCGGTTGTCGTTAATGTAAACAATTCTTCAGACAATACTTTAGTCAACAACTCGTTGTCGAGCTCTCAGGGAATTGAATTCAGTGACGGTTTGTCCGCTTTGGCAGAAGTGGCGCTCCAACAGCAGAGGAATACCGTCTAAAACATATACCGGTCACTGAATCTACACCTCATTCTCGCTCTGAATGGCATTTTCGTACACTTTTTCCCATTGCCTTCAGATTTGCACTCAGAATAACCATTAAAATCGATTGATATGAAGGTTCAGAAAAACAAATTAGTTTTTAAAAAATTGTTTTAATTTTTAATTATTTTTACATATATTTATTGATATAATGGGTAACAGGTATTGATTTTATTAACAAAGAAGTATTGATTTTTTAAAACGGTTTGTTTCTCTTATAAATCAAAATTTCATTGTGAGAATCACTTGAAAGCAGAAACAAACAAAAACTTATAAAATATAAGTCAAAACCTATTTTTATCACAACTTTTCTTAATTTGTTTTTTGTGATCAATACTAACGTAAAGGCTTAACAACAGAATATATATTTCATACCATTATTTTCGTATATAATTTGATACATTATTTTACACGTGAAATCAGGACTTGATTTTCTCAGCAAAATATTTGTAATTTCTTTTGTTTTTGAGCCCTATTTTCGCAATCAATTGGTTTTTTAATCTATAAATCGTTTCATTGTTTTATCATTTAATATATTTCATTCATATTTGTTCTCATTTATGTGTTAAGCCGTTCTTCAATCACACAAATCAAATACAGACTTAGATCTGAACTATAATTATGTAAGAAATGAGAAATTATTTTAATTAATTGACGACAAAAAGTAATTGAATGACGAAATGAAATGAAGTAACAAAATATAAGTAAACAAGCCTTATATTTTTGGCATATGTTTTAATGTAATGTTTGGATATATTATTGATTGAGAAAAGAGTTGTCTCTTTGAGTGATAAGAATATTCTTAATATTCTTTGAAATTAAGTGATTGTATAAAAAATAATTGATAAATGAATTTGTTTTTTGTTGAATTTGTCTCTAATTATGAAAAGCAGTTATTATTGATTATACGATTGATTATTATTATTAATTTTTAATTAATTATTACAATTATTATTATAATATTTATGTTTATATTATAATAATTATTATTATATTATATTATGAATTATTATAAGAAAAACATTGAATTCTATGCAGCAAAACGACAAACACAACAACAAAAGCGTTTAGTTTTACGATAAAACGCTAAAATCAATTGACAACTACTTAAACAAATGTTGCATTTTTTGAGAAATCAATTGTGAAACAAAAAAAAATATTGAAATCACTTTAAAATCTCAAAACAAATTGAAAATTGTGTCGACAGTTGAGTTGGTTATCGATATATTGTAATGGCTTTACTGTACATACGATATACACACACAATGTTAGAGATTTACTGTGAATGAAATGCTATCTAATGTTTCGAAACACACTATAAGTCTGTAAACAAATTAATTGATAAAAAGTTATCATTTTATCAAATGAATGATAAGAAATACAGTCGACTCTCGCTATTAAACTGTTTAACTGTCCGGAGTGTCGTCCCATTGTCTCGACAATCAGTTTTATTTTAACAACAAATTGTGACATAAATTATATATATATTATAGATTATATAATAGATTATATTAATTAATTATTTTAAACACTTGATATTTACCGGTAATTAGTTTTATAAATAAATTAAAACAAAATTTATATTTTAAATACTAAAGAGTATAACAACTGAGACATCGAGACAATAGTGACCCGGAATTTATAACTAAACGAGTGTTTAATTGTATTTGTTTGCGACAAACATACGGCAAAACATGCCTTTAATTTAATATTTAAATTTAAAAAAATAAAAATTGTTTAAAAAGTAATCGTTAATACATTTATTTAATGATTCATCAAAACATAATATCTTTATTTTTTGTTCAAATTTCTCATCTCATGATAAATATACACAACAAATATATAGATATATAGAGAATATATATCATAAGAATATATATATTTTTTAATAATAATAATAATATAAGTTATTTTCAATTTCTCTACAATTATTAGTCAATATATTTAACACAAAAACATCGAAAATAATCAGTTTTAACGGATTTATGTTTTTTAATAATAATTAATTCATTGCTTTTATTCAAATGAATGATTTTTAACGATCTATTTATTTGAGCCGACGTCTGATTATTGTCGACCAGCGTTCGAGTCGTCCGAGTGTTGACCAGAGGAGTACTGGTCGGCGGCGACGGCTCCAGGAGTATACTGTCGATCGCCGGTCGGATTGAGCGCAGAGTTGGGTGTCGTCGGTGTAGTGGACATCAACTTCTGGCGCACTTCTCGTATCTTAAGCTGTAATGTGTTTTTATTCGGAAATATTGACGAGTATTTCATCTGAAATTCTGCCGTTTCCTGAGCTGTTGTCACCAAATATGAGACACACATCAAAATCATGTCACAAATGGATCATTAAATGAGAGCTAATGAATGCTTACCGGAAGGAAAGAGACCCTTTTCATTGAAGAAATGCATCACTAATTGTCTCCTCTGATCCAAAGTTCTTCGAAGCGATGAACTCTTCTCTGCTTCGGCACCTGTTTATCATAAAAGTGACAAATATTGTAATAATGATATATATTTGGAGCACAACATCAATGGCTAACATACCTGCGGGCGTTTGGGGTGAGGGGACGTCCGCTTCAGTGTTGGTCGACGCGAGCGCTTCACCCAAATTGAAAGTCGGCCCGAAGAAGGTGTTGCCAGAGGTGGCCGTATCGGGCGTTGTTGTGGCCGCCGTTTCGGGTGTTTTGGGCGCTGCACTCAATGGAGTATTGGAGGGTTGAGATGAGTGACTCAATCGCTGCCGTTTGCGGTAAGAGCTGACAAACGCTGCCGTAAGACTCGGTGAGAGAGGGATAGGAGTGGTGGGAGTGGCGGACGCGCTGTTCATCAGTGGTGTACGCATTGGCTTGAATTCAGGCAATTGAGCAAATTGTCGCTCAAAGTTCACTTCTTCGAGCACCCGATCCATAGCGTCCCTATCATTGGTTGGCGAGTCCTTATTGTCGCTGTCATTAGTGGTCGATTCGCCGTTCGGCGCCTTTTTGTTACGGGTCTTCCCGAGCTGTGCCGGAGTCGGCGCCAAAACAAATGTCGTTTCGCCGCCAGAATTACCTACACTTTGGGCCGCCTTTGGCTTATTGTCATCAGTGGGACCGGTATTGAGTGGCGAATTGGGCGGCGGCTCTACTTTTACAGTCGGTATCATTAAAGGAGTGGGAGGTGTTGTCATCGACAGGTTTCCACTCTTAAAATTCATAACTGTTTTGTAAAACTGGGGCTCAGATGTGGTTTGTGTGACGGGTGTAGTGGTCGGCGGCTGTGACTCGTTTGATGACAGCCTTTGGGGCTGTTGTGCGACAATTACTGGAGATCTTTGTTGTGCGAGTGTTGTCAGTGTTGACAGACCTGCCATCAGCTGTGTTTGCGGTGATGACGGCGTTTTCACCATATTTTTATATTTACCGGTCATATACGCGGCCGAGGAGTTAGTGGTCAGTAATTGTTGTGAATTTGTGGTCTTATTCATCATAAGAGAGGGAGAAGTAGTGAAGAGAGCTGTTTGTGGCGACAGTGAAGACATGGGAGCAGTGGTTTGACTGATTACTGGTATGATTAGCGGTGAGGGCAGTGAACCGCGGCTTAATTTCTGGACCACTAATCCACACGACGCGTCCAGTGGAGTGTCGGCATTGGCTGTCATACTGTCTATAGTTGTGACCACTGGTAGAGCAGCGCAAAGAGGGCCGACGTCTTTAAACACAGCGCCTTTCGGCTGAAAAGCTGTTAATCCACTAAAAGGTTTGGCAGAATTCGGCGGACTATTCAAAGATTGAGATCTAATAGGTTTAGGTGTGGCCACAGATTCCGTAATCTTAGGCGAGGACTCAATTGACATCGATATCGGAGAACTGAATCGAACGCAATGTTTCTGTTGATTATCGACCGTCTGTTCGGTTTCAGAGGACTCGTCTTCGACGGCCACAGACTCCTTGCACTTGAGATCGATGACCATATCAGTGGGTCCGTCGTCCTCCTCTTCGTCCGATGATATGCCGGAAAAGTCGTCGCAAACGTTAATCAATTTATCCGACTCTTCGCTAAAAGACTTTGATTTTTTAATAGCAGTAATTTTAGGCATTTTCTTATCGCCGTTTGGCTCGAGACCAGTGCCGCTGCCGTTGGCCATCATATTCGGGGGCTGTTGTGCGCCTCCTCTGGAGCACCACTTCCAGTCGGGATGACGTTTAAAGTGAGCCTCTTTCACCTGAAAGGCCAAGTCGTGGTACTTTTGCTTCTCCTCGTGACCCAAGGAGTACCACCACTCGCCTAAGATCTTGCTTACAGTCCTGTTGTCAGAGTTGGGGTGTCTTTGATGGACAAGCGCTCGATGTCTTTTCGAGAATATCATAAATGCGTTCATTGGGCGCCGAATGTGTTGTTTAGCCGAACCTTTCAGACCTTTTTCTTTATACTCTTTGGGACCTATTATTCAAATTCCAATACAAATCAATGGTAAGTCGTGTCAAGACTTAAGTCTATAATAATTACCCGAATTCTTCATTTGCTGCAAAGCGCTCAACGATTGACTCCTTCTCTTGTTATAAGTCGAGACATTTTGTGAATACTCTTTGGATTCGCAATTATTTTTATCAGTTGTGACCGAAATCTCAAACACGTCGTCGTTATCGGAATTATCGGTGTCTGCGAAATGAGGCGGCGCTGAGAGTGGAGGCGACGTCAGTCCCGATGTGATCGATGGTGTAGTAGTGGTCAGGAATGGCACCAATGAATGCCACGGAAACACTGGAATTGGTTTGCCATCGGATGAGGCGTTTGTAGTCACCGATGGATGCATTTGCGACTGTTTTGCTTCAGCCGTGACGGGAGTCATGAAAATAACTTCGTTTTGGTGTCCATTAAGCGATCGATGAACGGATGAGTCGCTCTTTGTCCTGAGAGCGGGTGCGGACGTCGGCTGAAAGATAGGCAGCAAATGAGTGGCCGGTGTTATGATATGATATCGTCCGGCAGACGACTTGTTGGTGTTGTTTGATTCATAGCTATTATATTGTGATATCAATGGCAATGGATGTGATTGTGGCGAATGAGTGACAACTTTATGAGACATCGGGTGACTCGTGTTGTTAACAATAACACTGTTATGCTGTCCATTGGTCAGTGCGTTCGGCGAATGGCTTAACGACATCAACATATTGGCCGCTTCTGTCGTATCGAACTGTTGCTGATTGGCTGTCATTAGTGGCGGCGGCGGTGCGTGTGATCCAAGAGATTCACCGGAAATGGCGTTCAGAATGTGGTTCGAGTCGCGCGACTCCAACGCTATCACACGTCCGGTCGAGTGGTTTATTGGCGACACTTTGGACGTCGTGTTGAACACCATATTAGACGCCGATTGAGTCATATTTGAGTGATTCTGTTGTGGAGTTGTTTTCATAGAGAGATGTCGGGAACAGAAGCCCCGTCTCTGCGACTCTTTGGTACAGCCGTCGCGCGAACACAATCGTCGCCATTGTTTGCCGTTAAACTTCTTGCGGATCCCATTGGGAGCCGACACTATGTCTCCCTTCTTATACTTGTTAGGAGTGGTGACAACGCCTCCCGACTGACCGCTCATATGGTGTCCGGACGCAGATTGCGAGAGAACTGTCGGCGTTGTCGGCGCTGAACAGTGTTTGAATGTGAAGACATTGGGTGTCGTCGGAGTACTGCTGTTCGAGAAGTGGCAGATCTCGTCGTCTTCGTCGGCGTCGGAGAATTCCTGCTCATCATCGGTGGTGTTGGAGCCGAGAGAGTACTGAGCCATCACTGGCACTGATCTCGACAGGTGTGGCGAAAGCGGGCTCTGAAGCGGCGGCTGCTGTGGCTGTGAAGGGGGCGGAGGAATGGGTGGCTGTTGTGCGAGAGATGCCATCGTTATAACACTTATCACATTCGGTGAATTCATCGGCTGCTGTGATTGGCCACCGATTGGCGCCACTATTTTGCTATCGTATGTATTCACACATGAATTCAAGCCGTGGTTTATTACAGCCGTATTATCGGTCGCTTCCGCGCACTCATTGTCCACGTCTTCACTCCACGGTTGGACTCGAAGCCTAAGATTAGGTCTGGAAAGCCATTCGCACTTATTCTCGTCGTTGAAGCGGATCTGATAGACGGTCTTCTGGCCGTTGATCGTGCCGTTGCTGTTGTCCATTGAGATGTCGGCCACCGTTCCCTCCATGAAGCCATTGAGACATTTGGCGATCACATCCATTCCCACTTTGATCTGTGCGGCCAATGGACAGCAATCGGCCACCAAATCGGTAGAACTGGTCGAATAGTATTGAATATGATTTGTTCGGTCGAAGAGGACGCCAATGCCTTTGTGGTGATGGCAGTCGTCGATCACTCCCTTCTCGTACAGACCTCTGTCTGTTTTGGCCAACACTCGGTGTCCAATCCATTCCGACAGATCGCTATCCATTCCACACACATTAGTACGCCAATGCCTTTGTGGTGATGGCAGTCGTCGATCACTCCCTTCTCGTACAGACCTCTGTCTGTTTTGGCCAACACTCGGTGTCCAATCCATTCCGACAGATCGCTATCCATTCCACACACATAACTATTCACACCATTACTGGCCATAGCGTTAGTCGACTTCGCCATTGCATTCAAGTGGTTATTATTGTTGTTATCATAGTTTTCATGAATGCTTTGGTTTTGATTATTGTTATTATTATCGCTGTTATTGTCATTAAAGTCTTCATTGAAATCAATGGCAAACTTTCGCTTTTTTGGCAATTTTTTCGGCTCTGAAGTCAATTGGGTTGCAATTGACGACTGGTTTGGATCACCAATTGATCCGATGTTGTTGTCAATCATCGAATGGCTTATGGATATCAATGGTTTCGCCGAAGAGTTGCCAACAATTGAATTGTTTTCAATTGACATCTGATCAGAGAGTAAACAATGGATTAATAATGAATGCATTAGTGGTGAGCGGATCACAGCATGGGATCAATTGGCGGATCAGTTTGCTTACCATTTTGTGTGCAGTGTTTGACAATTAGTGTTCAATACAGTGACCATAAAAACGATAATTTGATGGCATTTTGTACGCAAAATATATCACTAATTGAGTGTATGTTTGCCATAGAATCACAACAATATTGTTATCGATATTGAATGTCAATAACTGTTCATAACATGAATGGATTGAATCGATTCAACCAAAACATCACAACAAACACAATGCAAAACAAGTGATCACAACAAACGGTGTGTCGAGAAGTAGTGATTCAATTGGCGATACACTGAGCCATCACTGCGACAATTGTGGTCATAGTTGTGGTGATAGTTGTGGTGACAATTGGATCGCAAACTGCTATTTCGGATACACTTGTCTCACACTTAAAGAGTGAAACATAGACTGTATTTGAATGCAAACATTATGTGATTCTGAGTATTGAGTGATTCATTCATTTCATTCACTCTTTCACTCACTGTTTGTGTAGTTTTGTTGCAAATACTGAATGCAATTGACGACTGGTTTGGATCACCAATTGATCCGATGTTGTTGTCAATCATCGAATGGCTTATGGATATCAATGGTTTCGCCGAAGAGTTGCCAACAATTGAATTGTTTTCAATTGACATCTGATCAGAGAGTAAACAATGGATTAATAATGAATGCATTAGTGGTGAGCAAATCACAGCATGGGATCAATTGGCGGATCAGTTTGCTTACCATTTTGTGTGCAGTGTTTGACAATTAGTGTTCAATACAGTGACCATAAAAATGATAATTTGATGGCATTTTGTACGCAAAATATATCACTAATTGAGTGTATGTTTTGCCATAGAATCACAACAATATTGTTATCGATAATGAATGTCAATAACTGTTCATAACATGAATGAATGGATTCAACCAAAACATCACAACAAACACAATGCAAAACAAGTGATCACAACAAACGGTGTGTCGAGAAGTAGTGATTCAATTGGCGATACACTGAGCCATCGCTGCGACAATTGTGGTCATAGTTGTGGTGATAGTTGTGGTGACAATTGGATCGCAAACTGCTATTTCGGATACACTTGTAAACACTTAAAGAGTGAAACATAGACTGTATTTGAATGCAAACATTATGTGATTCTGAGTATTGAGTGATTCATTCATTTCATTCACTCTTTCACTCACTGTTTGTGTAGTTTTGTTGCAAATACTGAATACACTTAAAGAGTGAAACATAGACTGTATTTGAATGCAAACATTATGTGATTCTGAGTATTGAGTGATTCATTCATTTCATTCACTCTTTCACTCACTGTTTGTGTAGTTTTGTTGCAAATACTGAAGCATTCATTGCATTGCATTCACAGCCACTGCCAGAGAGAGTGTGAGAGTGACTGTCACTAGTGATCAACACAACCCATGCGAGTGCGGACTCTGTCCGAAACGGGTGTTTTATGATATGAAAAACAAAAGTAAGTAAATAATTGTATTCTGTTCAACATTCTGTACATACTGAACAAAACGTTGATTTTTTGAATACGTAAAGTTTGCATACAGCGATTGCAGCCAAATATAAAGTCACTTCACATGACTCTCACTCCCACTGAAAACTTATAGTGAAATTATGGCCCAAATATAGTGCTATTATATTATGCTTAACAGCGATTCCAACGCCAATATAAGAGCCATTATATGGACAAATACGGCGTTTAACGCATGCATTCAATTGGATGCAAACAAAATGGTTTGCATTCAATATATTTTCACTAATAAATGAATGAATTGCAAAGTTTTAATAATAAATGTGTTGTTTTGCCATAACTTTGTTTTAGCACAACTTTGTTAGCGCGAAAGCTCGAGCCTATGCAGCCGTACAGTAGTGGTGAGTGTGGGCTCGGGTCCGGGTTTGTGGTAGTAATTGTTGGTTGCCTTGAAAATAGTGTATGAATATTACATTGTATGCTATATAGTAGTAGTGTGTAGTGAACTGGTAGTGCTTGTAGTGCCTGTAGTAGTGTTGGTAGTGCTGTAGTGTAGGTGCAAGCAGTGTATGGGCTCTGTATTGCCAGTACTGGTGTGGGTTCTGATTGGTTGGTTAGCGCACGACTTGTACAATATTTGGGTTATACAACACATACAGTGTGTATACTATTTGTACAGTATATGAGCTGCAGTTGTGAGGGAATCACTTCCACACACACACTCAGCTCAACCCTCGATTCCGAGGCTTTGGCCTTGAATTCAACACTCAATTATGCGAGAGAGCGGAGGGAGAGAGAGAGAGAGAGAGCTTGTAGAGAAAGCGTAGGTATGTGTGTTGTATTAAGTCTAGGGTTGGAATGATGAGAATATTGTACATTGATGGTACAGTCAACTATCGATGCTGTCAACAGAATGGTTCCTGGGATTTGGTTGATAACATAGATTAGTTGACAACATCGAGATAATTTTAACATTAGGTCTATGTAGTGGGGATTTGGGATTTGGTTGATAACATAGAGTAGTTGACAGCATAGATAGTTGACAGCATCGATAGTTGACTGTATTATTTAAAAATTCACCAGTCGACTTGATTTTGATTATCAATATGAATTTTTGTATACATATATTTTATATAAACAAGTAAGCATTGATATCGTGTAACTTATGAGTAAGCAAACCAGTCATGTTTTTCATATATATTGCAGTATGAGTCAATTGTGTATTTTCACCGCAAATATAACACTCATAAGCAAATAGACATATGAATAAACATCCTATTACACTATAATATATATAAAGTTGCAGGAAAGTTGCAGGATCGCGGTTTCCCTACTTATGAGTTATGATTGTTTAATTCTTGTTTATGCAAGATCATTTGGATGAATTTAATTTAAAGTAAACCAATTAATAGAATGTAATGTAATGTCTGTTTATCCGTATGATTAACGCTATTGTATTCCTAAATATTAAAATAAATAAAAAGAATTGTTTAAAGATGTAATGTATTGGAGACAACCCTAATAGTGACTATGCATTGAGTGAGTAAATAGAGGCTTAGAATGTGCACAAAAATGCATTACATTTCATGGCTTGTGACGTTACGTAACTGTCAACGTCAGTCACGATATGAACACGATATGAGAGCATTATAACTAAAAGTATAGTATAATCTGAATTAGGTCTTGAGTGAAGACTACGGTAGTGAAGTTACAGTAGGGTAATTAACATCTTATGTACACTCTATGAGATTTTCATAGCAACCAATAGCTCATCAACTGTCTGTCTACCTCTCTCTCTCTCTCTCTCTCTCCGCTCTCTCGCATAATTGAGTGTTGAATTCAAGGCCAAAGCCTCGGAATCGAGGGTTGAGCTGAGAGTGTGTGTGGAAGTGATTCCCTCACAACTGCAGCTCATATACTGTACAAATAGTATACACACTGTATGTGTTGTATAACCCAAATATTGTACAAGTCGTGCGCTAACCAACCAATCAGAGCTCACACCAGTACTGGCAATACAGAGCCCATACACTGTAACGTGGATGTGATGTCGTGATGGTTGTGATGATGTCCGTGATGTTCGTGATGGTCAAGTGATGTGTGATGATGATATATCGTATGTTACATTATAAGTATGTGATAAAAGTTCCGTTGGTTGTTAAACTACCACAAACCCGGACCCGAGCCCACACTCACCACTACTGTACCGATGCATAGGCTCGAGCTTTCGCGCTAACAAAGTTGTGCTAAAACAAAGTTATGGCAAAACAACACATTTATTATTAAAACTTTGCAATTCATTCATTCATTAATGAAAATATATTGAATGCAAACCATTTTGTTTGCATCCAATTGAATGCAATTGAATGCATGCGTTAAACGCCGTATTTGTCCATATAATGGCTCTTATATTGGCGTTGGAATCGCTGTAAAGCATAATATAATAGCACTATATTTGGGCCATAATTTCACTATAAGTTTTCAGTGGGAGTGAGAGTCATGTGAAGTGACTTTATATTTGGCTGCAATCGTTGAAATGCATAAGTTTTTTAGTTGCAAAACAAGTCATACATGTCTTACAACTTGTCTTATGTTAATAAATGAATGAAAACAAAAAGTATAGTATTTTGTGGGCAAAGCCTGTCTCAGGCGTGAGCGTTGGGTTGTGTTGATCACTAGTGACAGTCACTCTCACACTCACTCTCTGGCAGTGGCTGTGAATGCAATGCAATGAATGCTTCAGTATTTGCAACAAAACTACACAAACAGTGAGTGAAAGAGTGAATGAAATGAATGAATCACTCAATACTCAGAATCACATAATGTTTGCATTCAAATACAGTCTATGTTTCACTCTTTAAGTGTTT